TCTGGTCTCTCCCCTTCTCTGACAATCTTTCCCGCATATCTCCCCCATATCTCCCCGGTCTCCTCTCCTCAAGTCGCCCAGCCACGTCGAGGTCTGCTCTCTCCCCATCTCTCTCCCATATCTCCCCCATATCTCCCCCATCTCTCCCCTCAAGTCGACCAGCCACGTCGAGGTCTGCTCTCTCCCCATCTCTCCCCCATATCTCCCCCATCTCTCCCCCGTCTCTCCCCTCAAGTCGACCAGCCACGTCGAGGTCTGCTCTCTCCCCATCTCTCCCCCATCTCTCCCCCATCTCTCCCCCGTCTCTCCCCCGTCTCTCCCCTCAAGTCGACCAGCCACGTCGAGGTCTGCTCTCTCCCCATCTCTCCCCCATCTCTCCCCCATATCTCCCCCGTCTCTCCCCTCAAGTCGACCAGCCACGTCGAGGTCTGCGCCAGCCTGGTGGCGATCTCTCCACATCTCCCCACGTCTCTCCCACTCTCTCCCCGCCTCTCCCCACATCTCCCGGCCTCTCCTCACATCTCCCCGCCTCTCCGCCAGGTCTGCGCCACCCTCGTCGCGATCCCAAAGCTGGTCAACCTCGAGACGCTCCCTGCGCTGATGGACCCGGTGTGCCCCATATCTCCCCCACATCTCCCCCATACCTCCCCCACACCTCCCCCATATCTCCCTCGTCTCTCCCCCGTCTCTCCCCCATATCTCCCCCATATCTCCCCCATATCTCCCCCGTCTCTCCCCCCAAGTCGACCAGCCACGTCGAGGTCTGCTCTCCCCCCATCTCTCCCCCACAGTTCCCCCACACCTCCCCCAAATCTCCCCCATATCTCCCCCAGGTGTGCGCGCTGCTCGACCACCCCAGCGAGGTCGTCCGCAAGAAGGCCGTCATGGCGCTGCACCGCTTCTGCCAGCTGCAGCCGTCCTCGGCGGCCGACCTTTCCGAGAAGCTTCGGCGCGTGCTGTGCGACAAGGACCCCGCCGTCATGGGCGCGTCGCTCTACATACTGCATGAGGGGGCCGAGGCGGACCCAAAGGCGCACCTCACCCTCACCCTCACCCTCACCCTACCCCTACCCCCACCCCTACCCCTACCCCTACCCCTACCCCTACCCCCACCCCTACCCCTTAACCCCTACCCCTACCCCTACCCCCAACCTCTCTAACCCTATGACCCAAAGGCGCACAAGGACCTCGTGCCGTCGCACACCTCCCCCACCTCTCCCCCACCTCTCCCCCGCCTCTCCCCTAGGCGCACAAGGACCTCGTGCCCTCGTACGTCTCCATCCTCAAGCAAATCACGGAGCACCGCCTCCCCTCCTCCTTCGACTACCACCGCACCCCCGCGCCGTGGATCCAGGTCGAGCTGTGAACAGCGTCTCTTCACACCTCTGGCTGTGAACAGGCATGCCCGCGCCGTGGATCCAGGTCGCGACCTCCCCACATCTCCCCCCACATCTCCCCATATCTCCCCATATCTCCCCACATCCCGCGCCGTGGCTCCAGATCAAACTGCTCAAGCTGATGGCGACCTTGGGCACCGCCGACCAGCGCGCGTCAGAAGGCATGTACGAGGTGTGAACAAGGAAGTGTCTAGGAAGTGTCTAGGAAGTGTCTAGGCAGAGGGCCGTCCCTCCGCAGTCCCTCCGCCGTACCTCCTCCGTACCTCCGCTACTCTCGGCTACTCTCGGCTACTCTCGGCTACTCTCGGCTACTCTCGGCTACTCTCGGCTACTCTCGGCTACTCTCGGCTACTCTCGGCTACTCTCGGCTACTCTCGGCTACTCTCGGCTACTCTCGGCTACTCTCGGCTACTCTCGGCTACTCTCGGCTACTCTCGGCTACTCTCGGCTACTCTCGTGCAATCTCGTGCAATCTCTCGGCTACTCTCGTGCAATCTCGTGCAATCTCTCGGCTACTCTAGTGCAATCTCGTGCAATCTCGTGCAATCTCGTGCAATCTCGTGCAATCTCGTGCAATCTCGTGCAATCTCGTGCAATCTCCCGGTGCAGGTGCTGCTCGACGTGCTGCGCCGCGCAGACACGGGCATCAACATCGGGTACGCCATCATCTACGAGGCGGTGCGCACGATCACAAGCTGTGAACAGCGTCTCTTCACACCTCTAGCTGTGAACAGGTACGCCATCATCTACGAGGCAGTGCGCACGATCACCGCCATCTTCCCAAACATCCAGCTGCTCGAGACGGCGGCGAGCCACATCTCGCGCTTCGTCTCGTCCGACAACCACAACCTCAAGTACCTCGGCATCAAGGCGCTCGCCGGCGACCCCCCCGCCGACCCCCCCCCCCGGCGCCCCCGCCCCCCCCCCCCCCCCCCCCCTCCCCCCCCCCCCCCCCCGAGCCCCCCCCCCCCCCTCCCCCCCCCCCCCCTGGTCCCCCCACACCCTCCGCCCCCCCCCCCCCCCCCCCGCCCCCCCCCTCCCCCCTCCCCTCCCCCCCCACCCCCCTTTTCCCCCCCCCCCCCCCCCCCCCCCCCCCCGCGCCGCCCCCTCCCCCCCACACACGCACCGCTCACCCACGCGCACTGGGCCTTGCACGTTTCAATGCCGTGCCAGCTCCTGTCGTCCAGACGTGGAGTCGCGAGGGACTAGCCCGGCCCTTGCCCCACCACCTCGTGTGTGTGTGGAGAGGTGTACCCGTACCTTACCCTACTCTGCAGGTCAACCAGAAGTACGCCCTCGAGCACCAGCTAGTCGTAGTGGACTGCCTCGAGGTCTTCGCCCCCGTAGAAGCGGAAGACGCGCTGCCTTGCGGGGCCGCCACTGTCGCTCGTCGGAGCACGGAGCCACACTGCACGCTACCGCCTTGCCCCGAGGCTGGCGTACTCAGCACGCACGACCCCGGCTACCGCACCACCCATCGGACCGAGCCCCCACACTGGATTCGAGACTCTGGAGGTATGGGACACGCAGGACCCACACTGGATTCGAGACTCTGGAGGTATGGGACACGCAGGACCCACACTGGATTCGAGACTCTGGAGGCACGTCGAGCAGCACCTGCACCGAGAGATTGGGCGAGATTGCACGAGATTGCACGAGATTGCACGAGATTGCACGAGATTGCACGAGATTGCACGAGATTGCACGAGATTGCACGAGATTGCACGAGATTAGGACCCGGACGAGACCCTCAAGCGGAAGACCCTCGACCTTCTCTACCGGATGACCAACGCGGGCAACGTCGTCTTTGTCGTGGACAAGCTCATCTCGCACCTCCGCGAGACGTCGGACGACGCCTTCCGCGCCTCCCTCACCGAGCGAATCACACAGCTCGCCGAGCGGCGCGCGACCCCCCGCGACCCCTCCCGCGATCCCCCGCGACCCCCCGCCATCTCCCGCCATCTCCCCCGCCATGTGCCGCGCGATTTCCCCCGGCATCTCA